AAAGGCTACACATTAAGAATTGATTAGATGTGTTTTATATAAATATACTACTGTATGGGTATATTTTAGTTTGCTTATCATTTGTTTCCCCTTTTTTTGGCTATTTAAACAATATAGCAATAAATGCTCTTGTTAAATGCTTTCACAAACTCAACATTACTCCTTTGGATAAATTCCTAGCAGTAGGATGTTGTCAAAGAATACATACATTTTTAAGTTCCTGCTTTTCTGAGACATACCAAAACTATAAGGTGCACATTCTCATACACAATTTTATAAATAAACTATTTTATGAGTTTATGAACTCTTCATAATATTAAATATTATAAATCAATATTCAATTTGTTAGAAAGAAGAAAAAAAACCCCCAAAATTCCTGTTAAACAAGTCAGGTTTTAGGAGCTTCATATCCCTGATTATCAATGCTGCTCCAATTGTGAGGAGGACCACTACCTACCTATTAGATTGACAAAAAAAACCTCCAAACCTGACAATATCAATTGCTACTAAGATGTGAAGGAATTAGAGCTCTTATACATAGCTGGGAGACATGCAAAATGGTTCAGAGACTTTGGAAAACTGTTAGGCATGGTAAATGTTAAACTTCACCATATAACCCAGCAATCCTACTCCCAGGTAATTACCCAAGAGGAATAAAACCTCAAATTCACATGAAAACCTGTATGGAAATGTTTATAGCAGCTTTCTTCATACTAGCCCAAACCAGAAACACTACAAATGTCCTTTAACTGTTGAATGGCTAAACAAACCATGATATAAAACAGACTCCTACTTAGCGATGAAAAAGAACAAACTGATTCATGGAACAACGTGCATAAATTTCACACCCATTTTGCTAAGTGAAAGAAGCTAGACTCAAAACGCTAAATAATATATAATTCTATTTATATGACATTCTGGAAAAGGCAAAACTATAGCGACAGAAAACAGATCAGTGGTTGCCAGAGACTAGGGTGGAAGAAGGAATTGACTAAAAAGGGGCACAAGGGAATTTCTTTAGGGTAATTGAAGTGTTCTACACTTTGATTGTAGAGGTAATTACACAATTGTATGACTGCGTCAAACCTCACAAAAAGGATGAATTTTACTGTATATAAATTATACTTCAATAGACCTGATTTAAAAAATTGTGGGAACATAGGCAATCCAGTAGGTGGGACCTTATATAGTTTGAAATCCCACTCTGATAATTTTGATAAGCTGTTCTTCCTTCCTTCTATTGAAAATCTCTCACCCAAGTGAGAGAAGAAAATTACTGGAAGGAGGAAGATTTTAGGAATTCTTAAGAAATTACATGTAGAAAACTCCAGATTTATACAAAAGATTAATTAGGAATTAGGAATTAATTAGCCCCCCCATGATGCACAAAGACCTATTTATTCCATAAAAGGGTTTATTATAGGTTCCTTCAAATAGTAAGCTTTCTTATGCTTTTGTTATAGACTTCATTTATAAAAGATGAATAAGAACTTTTTAAGAACAAAGTTGTTATAACAACACGGGCACATGTCAATAGTATCCTAACTGCATAGGTGTTTCTGAATTTCTATAGAAACGTATGGACCAACGAAGACACAGTTTGGCTAAAAATAAATGAAGACAATAAGGATTCTGTATTTTTTTTTCCATTGAAAAAACTGACTTGGTTATTTAAAACCTATTGCTTTTCTAAAAATTCAACAAGGCACTGATTATTTCAGGAATGAAAATAAGAAAGAAAAAGAAGAAACATGACAAGAAAAATAAAGCCATGCAAACAACGTTTAACAGCACCATTGCTTTTGCCACGAATTTTTTAAAAAAGATGTTGAATATTGTCCAAATATATCCAAATTCTAATTAAACAGCAGAGATCAAAAGAACTCTTTTCTCAATGTTTGCAGAGTAGGGTATTAAAGAAAAAAATTTACCTGATAACATCTTGAACAAGTCAGCCAGTTGATTGTTCCCCACAAGCGCCAATATACATCTCTCCAAGATTTTAATTCTTCGAAAAGACTATTCAAATACTCATGCACATCCCAAGTCTTATCTCTGGGGAAAGAGTTTCAATTTTATAAGCAAGTAATATAAACAATTTGTTTTAAAAAGATGTTTTTAAATTTGTGTTTTATTTCCAAGAACATTCCCCAAATGCTGAGTATGATGTGTACTACAGTGAAAGGTAGATACGATTTCATTTGAGAGTTTGTCTTATTCTGTGGATAACAGGGTCTCGCTCTTTTGCCTGGGCTAGAGTGCAGTGGCACGATCACAGCTCACTGTAAGCTCAAAGTCCTGGGCTCAGGCAATCCTCCCACCTCAGCCTCCCAAGTAGCTAGGACTATAGGCATGCACCAACATGCCTGACTAATTTTTCTATATTTTTGTAGATCTGGGGTCTCACTACATTACTCAGGCTGGTCTTGAACTCCTGGGCTCAAACAATCCTCCTGCCTCAGCCTCCCAAAGTGCTAGGATTACAGGCATGAGCCACCATGACCAGCCTTTAAAGTCAATTTTAAAAATGCACATCAACTGCTGACTTGTAGAAAAATATTTTGAATAAAGCAACAAAAATGGATGTTGAAATTAATATAAATTATTTTTTCACATACTACTAATAATTATTGCTGTCAGAATGGAAGTAATTTTCAAAAGGTGAATCAAGTCTCAAGACAAAAAAAGTATAAAATTCTAGATTCTTACAATAACTAATGAAGATTCCCTGATTATTGTATTAAGAGAAGAATGAAACATTTTAAAGTTGACTGTACTACTAATACTAGGGTCTAAGTAAGTGCTTTTCTGTATTTCTGTTTTAATGTATAAAATACAACACAGGTTTTTTCTTTAATAAAAGTGCTATCAATTTTTAATATAGAAAAAAGGACAAGCAAAAAGAAAATTAAAACCATCTGTAATACTATCACTCAAAGGTAACATCACAGTTAACATTTTAGTGAACATGTTTCTAGTTGTTTTATATCCTATTTTTTCACTTAATTTACTACTAACAACTTTCTATACAAGCATATATTCTTTTACAACATTATTCTTAAAGGCTACACATTAAGAATTGATTAGATGTGTTTTATATAAATATACTACTGTATGGGTATATTTTAGTTTGCTTATCATTTGTTTCCCCTTTTTTTGGCTATTTAAACAATATAGCAATAAATGCTCTTGTTAAATGCTTTCACAAACTCAACATTACTCCTTTGGATAAATTCCTAGCAGTAGGATGTTGTCAAAGAATACATACATTTTTAAGTTCCTGCTTTTCTGAGACATACCAATTTACAAGACCCTCCCCCAACTCAGAATGAGAACTTGCTTTGAACATAAAGAGGAATATATATTAAGTATTAAT